GTCAGAAGAATTTATATGTCGTTGCTTTGGTTTGCAACTTCTTCTAGCGTGCGTATGTAGATAAATTCAGGCGTAACGAAGCGAGAAATATGAATATTAGAAAGCGAAGAATCATTGTGAGAATGAATTCCGGACAAACATCGTTAATCAAAGTGACGAGTTAATTTGTCATTCGCAGCTGACGGGTTAATAGACTCGAAAAAATATACCAATCAGTATGCGATCATAACTCATCCAGAGTGTAATCTACATCGACACTTATTTATCCTGCGTGTAACTAGAGTCGTTTTATATCGTCAAATTAATATAAAGCACGCAAGCACTAGAGTAATTTCGAAATCCGATAATTCACTGATCCAAGTACAGTCAAATATAAAATATTCTATTATTTAATTAATTTCGAATTTTGAAATATCAAAGATCCATTGCATCGCGAAACTGATATTATTGTAATAGAAATTCTTAATTTAACCCTTTGCACTCGACGGTGTTTTGGCTAAGGAAGAGTAGTAGTTCAAAGATTTTCTGTTACAAGGCTGACGATATTTTTCTGAGTAGTGAATAAGAAGTCACGTGATAATTAACACTTAGAATTATTTGATTTCGATACCTCGCACACTATCTGAAATGTGACATATTAATGAATATCGAGCTTCGAAATTTTATCAAATGGAGACTGGAGGGCTCAAAGGACTCTCGAGCGCAAAGAATTAATAACTACTTAATGGTAACTCAAGGATGACTGTAGATATATCAGGAAATCCGTTGAAAAATGTATTCTTATGAATCACTTTGATCAATGATGGACACAGTCTGTGAGAGTAACAGCTCGTTTCTATGAAGCCAGTTAGAAGGTTTCTTGCCACGATCAAGATCCTTTGATTACCCGGATTGATCCCGAGATTAACGATCCATCGTCTACTTTACGAACCACAGACGACAGCATGGGTTGCCTAGGAGACGATTACTGTCCACCCCAATGTAATTGCGCCGAGTCAGTGGTGAGGTGTTCGAGGTCTCAGCTTACGGAGATTCCACGTGGGATTCCGCCGGAAACCACCGAGCTGTATTTGAACGAGAACGACATCAAGACGATCCAACCGGAGAGGCTGAGCCACCTGAAGATCCTCGCTAGACTGTAAATAAAACTCACGTGCGACCTCGTAACGTTTGGTCCATGACTATAGAGGAAACACCTAACACCGTCTCTTCCTTTGCCTTTCAGGGACCTGAGCAACAATCAGATCGGTATGCTGTCGAACGACACCTTCAGGAACCTCACCAAGCTCTCACACCTGTAAGTACATGACTAGGATGTAACTCTTTCAGCGGGACCATTTTCTTTTTTTTTTTTTTATTTTTAATGTGACATTACGAAGATTGCATCGATTTTTACTATGACATTTCTAATTTTCACGATTTTATTAGTGGCCGTGAAAAATTACCATTTTAATGGGAGACACCTCATTCTGTGTGACCATTTCTTGCCTTATTCGCGAATTTTTTATTTTTAACGTGGTATTACGAAGATTGCATCGATTTCAACTATGACATTCCTAATTTTCACGATTTTATTAGTGGCCGTGAGAAATTACCATTTTAATGAGAGACACCTCAT